TCATTATTTTGGGAGATATTTTAATTTCAATTTTGTAAAATCTATGCGTGAAAGACAAAGACAGTATATATATATAAGTATATATATATATATATAAGAATACTATACTTCTTCTTCCATGTCTTTCATAATTTATAATAGTACAAAATATTTAATTTTCATAATTTATAATGATACAAAATATTTAATTTTCATAATTTATAGTAATACAAAATATTTAATTTTCATAATTTATAATAATACAAAATATTTAATTTCATAATTTATAGTAATACAAAATATTTAATTTTCATAATTTATAATAGTACAAAATATTTAATTTTCATAATTTATAATAGTACAAAATATTTAATTTCATAATTTATAGTAATACAAAATATTTAATTTTCATAATTTATAATACAAAATATTTAATTTTCATAATTTATAATAATACAAAATATTTAAGATAATTTTACAAAATTAAAATTAAAATATCTCCTAAACTAATAATTTTTTAACATAAATAATACTTTTCTGTAAAGAATATCAAGGTGCATCAACTGATGCAATAAAAGTATATGATTCCATTTAATAAATTAATTAAATTTAAAGTTAAAAAAACGTTAATGACCTTCATACGTCCTCTACACGTCCACCCATCTGCAAGAAAACTAGTATCATCGAAATGTGCCCCTCTCGAAACCATTCAACTTCATCTGAAACATTTTTCGCTTGCGTGTAATAATAATGACGTAAATCTAGATGACATTGTGACCCACCCTGTATGCATATATATATATATATATATATTTTTTTTTTTTTTCGCTCTGTTACAGTTCGGCGTTTCAGCATCTTTCTTTCTGTTCCTGATTTCGCCGTTTCGTCTTCTTCTATTTACCTTCTTGCCGCAACGCTCTCCTCTCTTTTTTTGCGCCGGGATAGTTTCGGTTTATTTGGCGTTCCGCGTTTGCGGGAGATTTGATGGATTCGACGATCGATACAAGGGAAGTTTGTTTGGTCGCTCTGATTGTTTGGAGGGTTGTTTCATTTGGATGATGAGAGAGAGAGAGAGAGAGAGAGAGAGGCGATCTAGCTTTCTTGCGATTAGTTCGGCCGCGGTGATTCGATTCGTTTGTAATAATTGAACGATATTCAGCATGATTGAACGGCAATGCGTTTCTAGGCGAGAAACTCGCAATTCGTAAATCGGCGAAACGTTGTAGAAATAACGCGATTGTATCGTCTTTGACAGAAGATGGATTATCGAGAATGTTATTTTACATACAGTGACGAGCAAAAGAAAGTTTAAAATTTGTCTATGTGATACTAATATATAGCTAACATTCACAGTTGTGTTTCACGAGGAACAATAAATGATTATTATTAATATTGATAAAAAAAAATATTAGTATATTAGCATAAAAACAATCATTCATTGTTTTTATTAAACAAACTGTGGATTTCAGCTACTCGACCAAGGCAAAAATTCTCAAAAATTACAAGTGTCTTCGAAATTCGACTCAAGTTTGGCAAAAACCTTCCACGAACCCCTGAACGATCGCCGATCTGTGTCTAAAAAAGCGTCTTCCCGGATTTTCGTTTCGCCAAAACTCGCGTATCGCCAAGAATCCAAGGGAGCAGGGAAACGAGCCAAACAGCGGACTAAAAAAAAAAAAGGAAAAAAAAGGAGGGGGAGGGGGAGAAAGCCAAGCCGAAAGAGAGAACGAAAAACAAAAAGAAAAAAACAAAAATCTGCAAACGACGAAACGACGAGTTCTCTGGTGTTCCGGATCTCCGCGATGCCTAAAAAGCTAATAAAAGTCGCGGCAGATAAAACGCGACGCACTATCTCGTCGTCGACGGTGAACGATCCAGAAGGAGCACGGACAGCAGAGAAAACGAAAGAAAGAAAGAAAGAAAGAGAGTCTGAAAGGAACTTCTTTTTTCTTCGCGTCCAAGAGGACAGACCGAGCGACAGAGAGAAAGTCGAGCCTCGTGAACAGAGGGGCCAGTCTCGTGAAAGGGAAGGTCGAAAAGGAAAGAAGAAGAAGAAGAAGAGGAAAACGATAGA